AAGGGTTCAAGTAGAAAGAAAATGTTTTGAGAATGAGAATGGCAACAAATGTACAAATGTGCTTGACACAATGGATGTATGTATGGATTGTGATAACAGTTGTATGAGCCTCCAATAAAATGATTAAAAAATAAAAAGATGGCCATGCCAGGTCAGTTGAAAATTCACTACCCTGTTCCCTCTCTTGTTTGTTGGTACTCAGCTTCTTCTCCTAGTTGGTATTTAATCGACTTCTCTGTCTTTTCCTCCTAAACTCAGGGTTTCAGGATTATCATCAGAATCTGTTTCATTTGGTCTCTCATGTCTTTGCCATAGGGGGTCTATGTATTATGGCTGCCTAGTCTGCCATCTTGCCTGATATTTAGTATTCTTCATTATTTTTCTGCCTCCTGTATTTATTGTTGTTTTTGCATGCATATGACACAATTGAAAACACTGTGGCTTGAGTCAGGGCACCTTAGTCTTCAAAGTAACATCTTTGTTTTTTAACACTTCAAAGACATTATTTGCCTAATGCAATATGTGGTTTGATGTCCTGACTGCTGCTTCCAGGGGATTTGATTATGGATCAAAGTAAAATCAAATCTCTGAAAATGTCAAACTTTTCTCCTTTTATCCTGATACTATTTGTTGATACAGTGGTGAGGATTTTTCTTTCTTTATTTTGGTGTATAATCCAAGGTTTCTGTAGTGTTTCAAAAAAATCTACTTTTAGTGTTCTAATTAAATATTTTTCTTCATATATTTTAAAGGAACATTATTTGTCATATATACTCATAATTATACATGATTGTTAAAGTTAGAAAATATCCTTTTTATATTGTATTTTAATCAGTGAATACTGATATTTCTAATATGCTGTCAGACATGTATTTATTTATATAGATAGAATGTTAGACAAACCCACAAATGCTTCAAATAGTGCTAGCAGCTTTGACCAGTATTGTGTGTATTCTTCTAGATTTTTATCTATATAATTATATTTATAAAAATCATCTGTATTTTTATTATACAGAATGCTGACAAAGGAACACCTATATATATAGCTTTACACATGCTTATACTTCTGTAAGTTTCTAAAAATAGAATTAGTACAAAGGATAAGCATATTTTGTAATAGGATAGATATTGACAAATTACCCTTAAAAGGAGATTATACAAATTTAAATTTGTAGTACCAGAGTATGAGATTGCCTTTTGCACACACACTGGCTGAAGTCCATTTTTTAATTTAAAAAAAATTTTTTTGGTAATCCAATGCTTAGGAGTCCAAAATGGTGCTGTTAATGCACTTGACTTCTAATCCAAAGGCTGATGGTTCAGGTTCACCCAGATATGCCTCAAAAGAAAGACCTGCTGATCTAAATTTGAAAATTAGACCTTGAAAGCTCAATGGGACCCAGTTCTACTCTGACACATATGGTCTTGCATAAATGAGTGGGAATCAACTGAAAGGCAACTATTTTTTTTACAATCTGATACAATGTGATACATTATTGCTTTCATTTGCAATTTTTAAATTTTCAGTGAGGTTGAGCATCTTTTAATTTGTTTCTTACCTATTTGTATTTTTTGTTTTAATGGACATTCTTTGTGTTGTTGTTGTTAGAAGCTGTCAAGTCTGTTCCAACCCTATGGACTGACCCTTCACTTTGCCGAGCATGATGTTCTTTGCCAGGAACTAATGGACATCATGCCTGCTAAAGTAGAAAAGCAGCAAAACAGAGAAAGGCAGTTGTCTGCTTCTTCTCACACTAAGGCATCTCAGCCTTGGGTCCAAGAATATGTGTGGGTTCCTTAAATCTAGCACTGGGTTTTTGGTTCTGTATTTCCACAGTTTTCTTTGAGAAAGAAAATATGCAAATATTGAGCTCAATGAACATTCATCTCTATGTTTCTTATAAACAGAAAAGACCTAAATATTGGATCTTGGTTAAATAAGTAATGTACACTAAAATTTTAAGTGTACATATATATATGGGGTGTGTGTGGATTCATTCATTAGATTCCTAAAGTGGGGCGTGAACTACTGTTCTAAAGGAGGGTATAATTATTTTTATTTCCTCCCTCTCAAAATTTCTTTAATAGTACTTGTGGATTTATCCTTTAAAATACTGAGCTAATGCATGATCTTTGTTAAAAATCTAAACCGTATTCAAGTTATAGAGTTGAGAATCAAAGTCCTTCCTCTTCTCTCATGCAGCAATCTCATTTTACACCCTAGATGAAACATAGTTAATATTTAGGGGGAATCTACCAGATTCTCCTTGCATTTATTTATATATAATATCTAGATATAGTTGAGTTTATTTCCTTGACAATTTGCACTGCCAATCCAAATAATAACAAGGAGAAAAAGAAAAAAAATAGGACTCATTATGTACCTGAAGTACTGTGGAAGATGATTCCATAGTCACCAGCGTTCCATTCAATGTCCTTGCTTGCACTCTTGCCCCTCACCTCTGACAAGTTAGCTGGAGAGGTCGTTAATTTTTAAGCCTGATGGCACTCTTCAAAGTCTTTCTCTCAAATTAAATCCCAATGTCGTGGTGACGCTACTATTGTTGGATTTGCTAGGCAGTGAATATTTCTGCAAGGTCGCCTACAAGAGTCTAGGTTTCAGCGCTAAGGGAGCGAACTCCCAGGAGGCAAGGGCGGGACTCCAAGAACAGTGGGTGGAGCCTGAGAGGAAGTGTGAGGAGAGCCAGAGGCGGAGGGTTTCGACCGTGTGCGTGCAAAGGAAGCCGAGCTGCAGGCCTTTAGACCTGGTATGCTCATGCGGATTCCGCGGAGCCATTACTAGAGGTAAGTGTCTACCCACGGCTTGTGGGGCGAGCAGTGCTTAAAACCTGAGTCCGGGGTGTGAGTGGGGGAGGGGGAAGTTCCCACGGGACCCTACGCCAGAGACAGCGGCCTGGAGAAGGGTTGGGAGGCTAGCCCTAACTCTCCCTCAACCCCACCTCCTCTCCCCTCCCCCAGGTCTCTGCTAGTGCCCGCGGCTGTGGAGGGCTAGCCGCATCTTCTGAAGGGACCTGGGCTGCGGCCCACAACGCTGGGAGAGAGCGGCCACGAGTGGGGTTGCGAGGTATGGGCATTAGCTGTGGCAAAGTGGCCCTTGGGGAGAGTAGAGACTGGACCTTTGGCATCAGCTGTGGCAAGGCAGCCTCGGAGGGGAGGGCCGAGGAGGGAAGGGGAGAGAAAAGGTGAGGGGCGGGTCCGAGGCAGGTTTCGCGCGTAACTGCTGGGCATTTAATATATTTATGCACATATATGTGTATGTGTGGATATAGAGTATATATACATATATAGTACTCATATATTTATACACGCATACGAGGAGACCTTAAATAGTTCGTGGGAAAATTCCATTATCTTTTCATTCCATTTTTCCATGAACTTTTTGAAGCCTCCTTTATTTTTATATATTTGTATCGACCCGATGGCAGTAAGGTCGGTTTTGGTATTTTATACAGACACATATTCATTTCGGCTAGTTGGTTTTTTTTAAATTTTTTGGCAAACTTAACAATATCTCTTGTAGATATTTATATTAGGGAAGGTAAATTTATCTCAGTTTTTAAACTGCTGCATTGTGTACTACAGCTTATTTGCCTATTGATGTACATTAGCTTGTATCCCTCCTTTTTTGTGGAGGGCTATTACTACTAATGCTGTAATGGGTTTGTACATATATATGTTCCCTGCACATGTATGAGTATTTCTGTAGGAGAAATTCTTAGACGACTAATGTTGGGTCAGCGTGTATGTACATTTTGAGATTTTAAGTATTTGCTCAAATTTCCTTCCCCAAAGCTATACTAATAATCACTCTCCAATGTTGTGCGAGAGTACCCATTTCTCTACCGCTGTGCCAACACAAATTATCAATCTTACAAAGGCAAAAATGGTATGTCATTCTTTTCTTTTGCATATCCCAGTTACTAGTGAAAGCGAATATATATTTTTTTAAATTTCTCTGATTACAAGAATAGGCACGTATCAATAGTCTTTCTACGTATAAACAATAAGCCTTTTTGAAGATTTCATACTTAAAAACCTTTCATTAGCAAAGCAAGAAAAATGAATAAAAATATCTGTAAGTAAACTAATCAACAGTGAAAGAACGTTTGCATAAATGAGGGAGACCATGCTTGTGATAAGAAGACTCAATTTTGTAATGATGTCTGTTTTTTCTCTTGATACAATTGATGCAATTTCAATAAACATACCAAGTTTTTGGAACTTAATGAGATTCTAAAGTTTATCAGGAACAAAAAAATAGATGGCTAAGGATAACCTCGAAAATATTGTAAAAGATGGTAATATTTGTACTACTAGCTACTAAAATATGCTCTAAAGCAACAATGTTTAAATTAGAATGGACAGAACAATGTATTAGAATAGAAAAACCCATAAATACAGCCAAATTGGATCTCAAGATTTATTGGAAGAACCTTGTTGGCTAGACATGGAAAAACTGCCAAATTAAAACCTTCAAACACACATACCTAGTCACACATGCACACACACACTTTAGCACCACCGCCTCACCCAACACCACCCCCCTCCCTGGAACCTTGAATTTCCCTTTGAGTGCCGACTCCTTTGTTTGGAGAAAATCACTTTATTGTGTCTTTTGGTTGTGCTAAGATAAAGCATCAAGAGTTCACATTGGTGGCTTCGGAGCTAGAATTAATGATATGAGTCTTTAGTTAGATTGAGGTGGATTCAGGTTAAACTACAGTGCTGCGAGGGAAGTAATCTGGATATTATCGGTCTTTTAAGTGTTTTCCCCAATCTAAAGGACAAAAAAATGTTATGTCATTGTTTTCATTTGTATTTGCATACTTACTGTAATATTGAACCTTTTTTTTTGTTAGTTGGGATGATGTGATTCCTGAAAGCAAGTAACAATGGGGGCTTTGTATTCCTCTTCCTGAACGGAGTTTGCTAATTGGTAAAGCCTTGCCTTGAAGCGTGAGAATAAACAGGTTGATTTTAAATTTTCCTCAAGCACGGGTTCTTGACACCTAGATGAGGGGGGGCAGTTTTGAGGACATAGCCGAGATTTGGCGCTTAGCTGTGTCATCGCGAGGTTTGGCATCCAGCTCCGCAGTGAATCGGAAGCCTCGTGGTAGACGAGATCTCTGCAGGACTGGAGGTTCCTCCCTCCCGCCCCCCCAAACTCTCAGTCATTTTCATGAAGCTCCGCCTTTCTCCTTTTCAGCAGCGTGCACTAAGTCTCGCGAGATCTTGTATTTTCCTGAAGGCAAAGGCGCGGGCGGAATCCTGCAGTGAACTCAGAGGTCTCGCAGAGGCTGGAACATAATATCGCGATAGTTTTTCAGCGCATGCGGGAGCCGGAGGCGGTAGTTTGGCCCCGCCCCTCCGTCCTTCGTGAGACCGTGCGTCATTTGCTTTTTGCTTTGCGTAGGGTGAGAGCTGAGCGGCAGCAGCAGCAGCAGCAGCAGCTTCGGCTTTGGCTTTGGTGAGAGGAGTGGTCTGGGAAAGGCTGAACTCTTGTTTTCCCCGCCTGGTAGTGGTTCTCGCGGGATTGCGCGGAATCTGCGGCGGTTCGACTACGGCTGCAGCAACCTCGGAGGCGGCGACGTCTCCGGTCAGGCTCCGGCTCCGGCTTGTGCTGTTCTTTTCTTACCCGTGAGTTCTCGCGGTAGTGGGGTTAAGTCCTTGTGGGTGGTGGTGGCCGAGGTATCTCGGGGGTTGGGGGTTGGGGTGCAGTGAGTAGGGTCTGTCCGCCTGCTGTTAAGATGGCGGCGGAAGCTGATGTCTGTCCGGCCAGGACCCAGAAATGAGGTGTTGACTACCCTTGTTGTGACGCCTCTCTGGTACCTGACGTTAAGGAGGTGACGACTGGCGAAACGCTGAGGTGCCGGTAAACTGGAGGCGAAGCTCCTTGTCTCTGAAAGGTTGAGGCGGCACCATTTCCCAGGCCGCAGCCGCGTGTGGTCCCGCCTTTTCCCCATCCAATCGGTCAATGCTTACTGAGTTGCCACCGCTGTAGGCGAATTGGGCAGGGTGGGGTGGAGAACCTGGGATTGGTTGGGATGTGGGGGAAAGGACAGACCCTTGACGATTTATCCCCATTCTCTACCTTTTTGTGGTTTCGCTTCCGTTCTTCCTGCAGCTAATCTAGTTTACCTTGAATTTATAAACGGGGGCGGGGGCTTTATTTTCCCAACTCCATGATATCTAAGCTAAGGTTTAGGGTCAAGTTAAGGGGTCTAAAGTACTCTCTCCCCTTCTCCCTTAATGTCATCACTGCCGACTCACTTAGTTGAGGATTTTATTGGAGTGGTGTGGAAAGCCCCACCCCCACCCTAATCATTCCCTCCCCATTCTATGGTAGAGGGTTTGGCCTGAGCACTCTCAACCTTTCGTGCTTCCCTTTTCCCATTGGTCCTTGCGGCGCAGGCGTTGATAAATGAATCGAACCCTTTTTTTGTTTTTACTCCCATTTTTGTTGATGGGATCCTAATGGCCTTCCATTTCTTTGGTTCTTCACTTGTGAAATTCTAATCAGGGCACTCATTGATTTCTTAAATACTACATACTTCTAGAAAGAACAATGAGTGGAACCGTGGGAAGGAGGGTCTATGATTACAATTTTCACAGCTTTTAACTTCCCCCTAGTCCAAAACAAAAACTTTTTCAGAAGGCTGTGGAAGGTAACCCTCTTGCAAACTAACTTTCCTATACCATGTGCTACACCCCCCATCCTTACCCTGAAGCACTGGAGCATCCCCTTTTCCTACCTTGTTCTGAGCTCCTGAAACCTTTTGGTCTATGGGCATGTATCTGCTGCCAACCACTTTTTTTTTACTTCTCACTAACTAATCCTTCTGTTCCCTATTCCCATTTTTATTTTACCAAGAATCTAAATCTGAATCCCATAGAGACCTCCCTGCCAAACTCCTGGGATGTCATTTCTCTCCCTGTCCTAAAAAATAAATAGCAATGATAGAAGATCTCGAGCTCCTCAAACATTGTTCCACATTATTTCTCTTCCCCTCGAGCCACTATTATGTGGCCACCTCCATTGATAACTATAAAAAATTGCCTATTACTGGTTTCCTTTGAAGATTTAGTGTTAAGCATTGCTTTTTTACAGCCCCAAGTTGTATAGATTTAGGAGGCACCAACATTCCCCGGTTGTGGCAGGCAGTCAGGGTAGTGGAAAGATTATTTGCCTTGGGTTCATAAGCTTTATGACTTTGGGCAAATTACTTTTCACACTTAAGTTTCTTCATTTCCATAAGTGTAAGTTAAAAACTCCAAACTCATTGCCATCAAGCGATTCTATAGGACAGAGAACTATTTCCTTCGTTGTAAATCTTTGCAGGAGCAGAAAGCCTCCCCAAGGAGCTGCTAATGGGTTCAAAATGCTGACCTTGTGGTTATCAGTTCAACAAGTAACCTATAAACCACCAGGGTGTCTTATAATGGGAACAATTGTGCTTATATTAAAGCATGCTTGCTGGAATTTGAAAAATAAAGTTCTTGGCACAAGAATACAGATGCACCTGCATCATGTGCTAGTTTTTATGACCTGAGAAGGAATAGGATGCTATTTTTTTTACATTTCTAGGCCAGACTTAGGAGTTTTGTATCTCCACCACCTTTCCTAAGCTCTTTATTTCCAGTAATTCATGTTTATCAAATTTAATTCCGACTCTATGTTACCAGGTCTAGAAACTTTAGTGCAAAATCACTGTCTTGGGATGACGAACCACCAGGTATACTGCTCTTTTTCATGTCCAGATGTTCTCCCTCTTACAAAAGTTGCCTCTTCCTTTGTCTATTATTACGTTATTCATTCTAAAGTTGTGGAATTTGGTGCTATCCATATCACAGTAGTAAAGAACTGTTGCCAGTTAGCTTTCAAGTATTCATATTGTTTTTTAATATCCTTTCTTTGGTCCCTTAGATCATTGTGGGGATCTGTTATTAACTGACTTTGTACTTGAAAAGGATGCAATCTGAGAAAATGTTTAGAAAGATTGGATTGTTAAGCTTATTTTCCAAAGTGAATTATTGCTAGTTCTTTAATATACTACCTCCTATTGCGGTTTTCCCATTTTACGTTTTCTAATACACTAAGTAAATAAAAATGAAATCAACTTGATGTCAGTGATTTTCAATAAAAGTGTTCTCAGGGTTGCTTTGGCCCCTTTTACAATGGCTTGAGCAGTGATCAGAAATTAACCAAACCTCAGTTTGACTCTTGGCATTAAGAAATAGAATAAATTTGGGAATGATAAATAAAGTGTGACCTCAAAGTTTAGTTTATTTTAGATCCATCTTGCGAAAAGAGGAGTGGCAATACCTTAAAAAACATCTAGGGTTCAGTGGTGAAGGTCAACTTGTATGTTTATTATTTATCTTTCTGGTACACCCAAAAAGCATGAATGGTAATTAAATAATATATGTGTAATTCTTTAACAAAATAATTCTTTTTAAAAATAAACTAAAATTTCCTTAGAATCAGTTTAGAATTAACTATTGCCTATAATTTCATTTGAGAACTGAACCATTTTCAGGGTTTTTTTGTCAAAGTGTCAGATTGGAAGTATTGTTACACCTGGTCTAAATTCTTCAGTTATTACTCAAAGCAGGTCTTTAAAAATGCAAATTGTTATGTAAGGGCTATTGCTTCAGAAACAAGTACTGTTTGAGCATTGATGTGATGGTTAATTCCTCCACAACCTTATGTTGTGTATTCTCCATTTTTTGTAGGTCCTCCACTAATCTGACCTGAGTGGGTTGGTGCACCAGAGGAACCAGCAGACCAAATTGGTAGGAGGTTCAGGAAGCTCCTCTAGCAGTGTTGGCATTTTCACCAGAATGAATATGATTGGCTGTGATTTTAGGTTGGTTTAATAGATCTTTGTGCGTAGTATTTGTATTTTGCTGCTCAGGATGGATGTGGTGGGGGGGTATATACACTCCTGTGATTGGGCTTGTGTCGTGTCCGTGTCCCCCCCCCCTTGGAATCTAATGTGGCACTGTTAAGTCATTGCTGGATAAAAGGAACCATTTAATTGAATTCTGTCTGTACATGAGTTTTCAAAGCTACTGAAGTAACATTGAAAAAATTACAAGATAGTAATTTTAACCAGTTCCTGAAAGAATTATGAAAATTTTCAAACAACAAAAATGGAACAGTATAATCAAATCCTCTACCCATTATCCAGCTTAATTGGCTATCAGTTTGCAACCATTTTATATAACCATTGTCCCTCTCCCTCATTGGATTTTTGGGTGGTAATTCTTAATTTTATATTACATTTATTTGTAAAATACTTATTTTATTTCTAAAAGATAAGACTTTAATCCCAATACATTATCACAACTAAAAATGTAAGCAAATCTTTAATATCAGATATAAAATTCAGATTTTCATTATTTTCTCAAATCGCTTTTTGACATTTGGTTCACTCAGAATCCGAAGAAACTTAATTCATTGTAAATATTTGCTATGTCTCTCAAATATGTTTTAATCTATAGGCTCCCTCTTTTGGTTTCTCTTCTGATGCATTATTGAAAAAAAAAAACTGTCCTGTAGCGTTTCCCCTACATTTAGTAATTATCTCCCAGTAGTTGATACTTATCAATGTTGGGTGCAAACTTATCAATTGGTAGCCACAGGACTGGGCAACATTTCATTATTCCTTTTTAGGTGCCAAGTCTCCAAAATCACAGTCATGAGTTGGGAGCAGATTTAGCACCTACCAAAAAAACTTTAGTGTCTAAAACCCATTCTTGCTGTTAACCTTAGAACCCATTATACTGGAATGATGGCAGTAAACTTCTCTATCTTAATTGGAGTTTATGTTGCTGGGCTATGCACTATCCCAAAATAACTAGTTACAAATACTTTTTTTCTGTGTCAAAGTCAGATTTAATTGATACCTGACTTTTAATGCCATGTCTTGACCATGCTTATTGCTTCATATAAAAAGTCGGCCTCCTGGTGGAAGAAGCTAATGTTTCCTAGATTTTTTATACATGGTTTTAATTTTCTTAGAAGGTTTAATTAATGCTTTTTTTTTTACATTTCATTGAGGGCTCTTACAGCTCTTGTAACAATACATATATCAATTGTATCAAGGACACTTGTACATATGTTCCCATCATTATTTTCTATTGGACCCACTCCATTCTTTTTTTTTTTTTTACTTTTTATTGGGGGCACTAAAACTCTTATCACAATCCATACATACATCCATTGTGTCAAGCACATTTGTACATTTGTTGCCATCATCATTCTCAAAACATTTGCTTTCTTCTTGAGCCCTTGGTATCAGCTTTTTTGCCCCCTCCTTCCCTGTTCCCCCCTCCCTCATGAACCCTTGATAATTTACAAATTATTATTTTGTCATATCTTACACTGTCTGATGTCTCCCTTCACCCACTTTTCTGTTGTCCCTCCCCCAGGGAGGAGGTTATATGTAGATCCTTATAATCGGTTCCCCTTTTCTACCCCACCCATCCGGTATTGCCACTCTCACAACTGGTCCTGAAGGGATCATCTGTCCTGGATTCCCTGTGTTTCCAGTTCCTATCTGTACCAGTGTACATCCTCTGGTCTAGCCGTATTTGTAAGGTAGAGTTGGGATCATGATAGTGTGTGTGTGGAGGGGAGGAGGGGTGAAAGGAAGCATTTAAGAACTAGAGGAAAGTTGTATGATTCATCGTTGCTACACTGCACCCTGACTGGCTTGACTCCTCCCTGCTACCCTTCTGAAGGGCTGTCCAGTTGCCTACGGATGGGTTTTGGGTCCCCAATCTCCATTCCCCCTCATTCACAGTGATAGATTTTTTTGTTCTTTGATGCCTGATACCTGGTCCCTTCGACGCCTAGTGATCACACAGGTGGTGTGCTTAGTTTTATGCTATCTTAATGTTTTTTATTCTTTTAGTGTTGGTATTTCGGTTGCTTTGACCTATAAACAGGGCTCCTCAAACTACGCCTTGTGGGCCACATGCAGCCCACTGAGGATATTTATCCAGGTCACCGGGTGTTTTTGCCCCGTTTTGCTTTTTACTTCAAAATAAGATAAGTGCAGTGTGCATAGGAATTTGTTCATAGTTTTTTTTTTAAACTATAGTTTGGCCCTCCAACGGGTCTGAGGGACAGTGAACTGGACCCCTGTTTAAAAAGTTTGAGGACCCCTGATCTATAATTTCAATGCTGTTACAACTTAGTGAGTTTTTCTGGCTCTAAGACAAGTTTTTAAAGGTGTTTTCTTGTGCTTTAGGTGAAAGTTTACTACCCAGCAAAATAGCTTTCTATTCAATAATTCTTACACAAATTGTTCTGTGTCATTGGTTAGAGTCTGTGCTCTACTTATTTCCATCCTGGGCTCCATGTTTCCATTCATCTGTCTTTCCTGTCCCTTCCTGCCTTTGTTTTTGAGCAAATATCCTTTTGGTTTCATTGAGTTGATTATTCTAAGGAGTATATATTCCTCATGGGTATCGCCATTTTATAGACCAGTTGAAAGGTGACTTCTGGGAGTAGCTTCATTTACACCAGTGGTTCTCAACCTTCCTAATGCTGCAACCCTTTAATACAGTTCCTCATGTTGTGGTGACCCCCCCCCCC